AGCCAAGGCCAAATATTTGTTAAGTAGAATTGACTCCAGTCCCTCTGGCCAGAGCAGCTCTCCATTCTGCAGGTACTCTGCATCCTGTGGCTCATGCCACAAGGCAGAGGAGGACAACCACCTACTGCTCCTCTTCTACACAGCTGAGGATGAAGGGAGGGGTCTGCCAAATACCTCCACAGCCATCTCCTGGAAGTTCTGCCCTGCAGCTTCAACTATTTTCCCTAAACGAAAGATAGGGCAGAAGGGATCTGTCTGGGAGTCATAGATGCAGTTCTTGAGGTAGGTGGAGTTGATATTGGGGAGGATGTTTCGCCTACAGGGGAACAGAGACAGAAGATCTATTGCATCTTCCTCCACTCCTCCAGCTGCCCTTTACAGTCCAAGAGGCCAGACAGCACAATGCCCCCCCGACGTTATTTACTTGCTGAAGTTGAACTTGGGGTACCAAATGTTGTTCTTCACGAGAATGGTGAAGTTCTCAGCTTCTTTCAGGAATGCTGGCCTACAAAACAATAGGAAAAGTAAGTAAGTTTCACCTATATTTTCACAAACAGGACACTGCAGGGTCCTTGGTGATGACCTCTTCCGTTTTTCCCTATAGTACCTCATAGGGAGAAACATCAGCGGCATACTGCTAGCCTCCTCTCAGGAGGGCCACCGCAGAGTAGGAAGACAGAGCACTCACTTGGGTATATGATAGTCATCCTCCACAGGGCACCATGCAAAGACTTCACAGGTCTTAATGTGGCTGTTGTACGGTACACACTCCCCAGTCTGGATGCCTGGAAAGACATGCGAATGGAGGTACTACCAAGCAAAAATACGGAGGTGGTATTTTCCCTGTGATATCTCCTCACTCCATAAGGTGAAAGCAATCTGCTCAGAGGTAAAGTGCCAGTACCAAGACCCCCATTATCTTCCATTGCAATTTATAGTGCAATTTTGGAGAAAGAAGCATTGGGTCCTTTTTCTGAGTCAAATTCTCATCCATGTGAAACAGTGCTTCATGGACTCAAGGTCCTGAAAAAGCCCTCACAGTTTGCTAACTCACCAAAGCACACATCTATCCAGCATCCACCCAACACAGTCTAAATCCATCTGCTCTCCCCCAGAAGAAAAATCTGACCTTCCCTTTCAGTTCTCTTAGGTGTGAGAGAATGAGGAGACTGAAGTGAAATGCTGCTTGCTTTACAGGAGGGAAGGCACAGCACAGAGGTATCACAACACAGAGTGGAAGGAGCCCTTTCAGCAGGCTTCTTACCATTGCTGTGGGTGCTGACATATCCTGGAACACAGTTATTCTTCACCTTGCACTCTGTTTTATCATCTGGAAGCTGGAGAGGAACAATAATTACACTAAACTCTATGAACTCTCTCCCCCGCACTCTCCCACCCACACAAGGCAGGATTAAAGCAGATCCTGTACCCACCTCTGGGCAGTGGCCTTGGCGCTGGTTCAGTGTGAGTATCACATTGGTCATGACAAACACAGTGTTCTCCTCCTGAACATGCAAAACAAAAAGGAAATTTAAGAGTGACAGTCCGCAAACAATACCCAAGGCACTGCCCCAAATGTCTTTGATGACAGAGCCCAGATGGCCTCGCAGAGGGGACTTGCTTTGGACAGTGCTGGTATAGATCCAAAGGAGCAGATTCCCACATGTATCGCCTGATGACACTGCCTTTAGGCAGATGAAGGACTGTGGGACTAGCAAGCCTTTCTGTCCTCCCACTTGGCCCAAATTTCTTCATTCACACTATGAAAACAGAGATCACACAGCTCTTCAAGGGAGTTGCAAGGTAGGAGCAGAAACAAAGCTCCAGCTGCAAGTTTGAGCATAACTCCCACTCTTTTTTTGGCAATATATATATTAGAAATTTGACCAGTCCCTATTTGTTTCTTTAGGGTGCACCACTTCCATTATTTTCACATTTGTACGATTCAGGATCTGTTGTTTGCTTCTGTTCCACTGACATGTAAATACGATCACTCATCCAAAATCTGCCGAAATCTGTCACTTTTTTCGGCACCACATCTCATGCAGACCCACGACCAGTAGCTTGGCCATGCCTGCCAACCCTGAAGGCCGCCACATATTGCCCACCCAGCGCAGATTCCCACAGACACAGTCAATCAGTAACTACAGCAATACCTCCTGTTCAGTTCCGGATCAAGTGACTTGCAGGCTATTCCTGGGGCTTCTGCCAACAAGTTCACTTTGAGTTGTTTGCTTTAGAAAGCAGTAAGGAAGAAAACATGCAGTTGTTGTTGCAACTTTTCCCTGAAGCCTGCAAAATTCTCCTTCCTATACAAGCACACACACAGACACACTTTTCTTGAAACAAGCTTCCCCAGGGCTAGTGGTACAGGCGCTCACCATGATCTGCAACAAAGCAAAGCTGCTTCATTCTCTTGTACCAAGGCTATGCTGGAGCTGAAGCCGCTCCAGACCTCAGTGGACTTTGGCAGAGCAGTAGCTGTTTGTTAGAAAACCCTCCCTCTGCATGTGAAAGTGACTGATACCTGAGGAGGGATGACGTAGTCAGCTACATCCCAGATCCTGGCTCCCAAGGTGGATGTGTTTGTCAGCGTTACTCCTTTCACCTTTGTGGTTACAGAACTGACCACAGAGTCTGTTTCCTGATAGCCCTTCTCCCACAAAAAGACCCAGCTGCAAGAGGATTGCAAGAAAGAAACAACAAAAACCAGATGAACACCATACACCAGCACAGGCAGTGGGAATTTCTCCTTTTCTCATGTGTCACCCAAAAGGGCTACTTTCACAGCGTTTCCCTATAAAAGGGTCACAGGACTAGCAATCTCCCTTCTGACTTCTTTTTTCCAGAGTGGTTTGGCAGGGTGTCATTACTGCTTTTATGAACAGCCCTGCTGGGTGAATGGCGACAGCCCTCCGGGACGGTCCCTACTCCTGAGGAGTCCTGTTCTGTCAGAGCCTGTCTCTAAGCAGCCCTACAATCCCAGTTAGGCCGCCCAGTTAAGCTGTCCCACCACCCGCTTGTCACCTCTCGG